TGAAGACTTGGAGAGTAGTATTTGGCAATAACCCAAAACGTTTGAAGGTGAATGGTTGCTTAAGTCGGAAATTACAACATGATTGGAGTTTCGACATCAAGTGTCGAGTGTTTAGGTGGTTACCAAAATGTTCAAACATATTTATCTTTAAGATAGAGCATGATCTGAGGCTGAAACGTTGTGAGAACTTGGAGAGTAGTATTTGGCAGTAGCTCAACAAGATTGAAGGTGAATGTTAGCTTGAGTCAGAAGTTACGGCATTTTTGGAGTTTTGACTTTAAATTTTAAGTGTTTAGGTGGTCATCAAAATGTTCAAACATTTTTATCTCTAAGACGAAGCTTGATTTATGGCTGAAACTTTTTGGGAACTTGAAACCAGTATTTGGCAATAGATTAGATATTTTGAAGGTGAATGAATGCTTGAGTCAGAAGTTATGGCATTTTTAAAGTTTTGACTTTGAGTTTCGAGTGTTCAGGTGGTCATCAAAATGTTCAAACATTTTTAAATTTAAGACGTAGCATGACCTGAGGCTAAAACTTTGTAATAACTTGGACATCAATAATTGGCAATAGCTTGAAAAGTTTGAAGGTGAATTAATACTTGAGTCAGAAGTTACGGCATTTTTGGAGTTTCAACTTTGAGTTTTGAGTGGTTAGGTGATTATCAAAATGTTCAAACATTTTTATCATTAAGACGTTTCATCATTTTTTTCATATCGTACCATGATTTATGGCTGAAACTTTGTGGAAATTTGGAGACCAATAGCAGTAGATCAAAAAGTTTGAAGGTGAATGAATGCTTGAGTAGGAAGTTACGGCATTTTTGAAGTTTTGATTTAAAATTTCAAATGTTTATGTGGTCAACAAAATTTTCAGACATTTTTATCTTTAAGACGGAGCATGATCTGAGTCGGAAACTTTGTGTGGATTTGGAGAGCAGTAATTGGCAGTAGCCTAGAAAGTTTGAAGGTGAATGGATGCTTGAGTCGGAAGTTACGGCACTTTTGAGTTTTGAATGTTCGGGTGGTACCGAAATATCAAGTTGCTTCGATATGGCTACTCGAAACGATATTTTTCAGCTTCTGCAAACAATCTTCAAAAAATTGAAGAAACTTTGACATGAATTCAAGATGCAAGCGGCTGCTTAAACTGTTGCACATAATCAAATTCGAGAGTTAAAGGTATCACAAAAGGGTGTGGAGAAGGTGTTCAAAGACATTGTGTGAGTTATGTGAGACATGTCTAAATCTGTTGATGACATCCAAGTGAAGGTATGCTCTCAAATGACAAGTGCGGATAGTCTAGATTGCATGAGGTGATCGAAAGCTTAGACTTGAAAATAAAATCCTACGCTGAAGCTACAAAGGCTGCTCAAATCTCTTTTTGTCAAGAACAAGAGATTGAAAAGTCCAATCAGCTCGCGCGTAGGAAAAACATGGAAATTTCAAGTTTACCTAGAAATAGAGAATGAAGATGTCAAGAGTGTTGTTTGCACCAAGGTTTTTGATGAAACACTTCAAGTTTCCAATCCAGAATTGGCTCAAGCTTTTTGTATTGGAAACAAGGGAGCTCAACCTCGTGGTATTATAGTGAAATTTGTCAATCAATGTGATGTTGCTTTAGCTAAAAAGGCTATTCTCAAGAGACGTAGGATATGGTTGGATCCTGTTCTGACTCCACTACAAGTGGAAGTTAGGAGAAAGAAGCTTGCGAAGGTAAACGAGGTTCAAGAGTCGGGTTTGTTGCTTATTTACTCGATGGGAGAGCAATCGTTACTCAGAAGAGGAGGTTGTCATCAACATAACAATCCAAGAAGCTAAGGGTGTTGGTGTGAAATATCCGAGGACTTTCAACAACAAAGTACGTGAGTGCTGCTCCAATTTGGAAGATGGCTGACGTCATCAACATTGTGGAGACTTGGGAACATGAAAGCAATATTATTGCTGAGTTGGAAGGATATACCTTGGTGGGTTCGACATGAAATCAGAGAAGACAACATGCGGAAAGAGTATAAGGAGGTATTGCTACTTTCATCAGTTCTCATCTTCTACCTCTCATACATCTAGAAGCTCAAGATGTCGGTGGACAATATCTTTGGCTGCGTCTTAGTATGGTTGGAGTATCTTATTGCTATTTGGCAATTTGTTATTTTGCATCATTGTCCATGGATATCTACTCAACACGCTTTTGCAACCAAAGTGAACCATTCCATCGGCTTATTGGAGGCGTTCTTAGATTTCAAAGTAAAGGGGATGTCTTTCTTGCTGAAGATTTCAATGCTCATATACGTTGTGCTCAATTTACTCAATTTAGTGATACTTTGGCTTCTTCTATGTTTGAAGAATTTTATGATAGTTTGTGATCTAGAAACTCTTTTGATACTTCCACAAATTCTTTGACATAGCAATTTTTGACATTTGGAGCCACTTGTAACTTGAAGGTTCTTAATGGAACCTCTCGCTTTCCCAACTCTCAATTTTATACTTGTTTTTTTCCTACCGGCGCTAGCACAATAGATTTTCTTTTGTCTTCCTTGGTTGATAACTCTTTATCTCTAGTTTTGATGTTCTTGATACTCAACTTGAATCAAACCATGCACCTCTTTTATATACACTTTCAATGTCAAAATCAATCTCTCACTCACCTTGCCAATCTCTTTTAGCTTCTTCCAAGTTTTGATTAGATCCTTGTAAAAGACACATTTATGTAGATCATCTACAAGATCTTTTGACTCATACCATATGGAGTCCAAATTCACATGACGCTAGTTTACAACTCATAGAATTGCTCAAAACTTCTGCATCGAAGTTCTTTTTGAGGCATAGTTCTAGAATTGCTAAGAACCTATGGATGGTTTGACTTTGAATGCAAGTTAGCGAGGGCAAGATTGGTTGATAGGTCTTTGGATATTCAAAGTCGGCTTCTTTTGACAATGATATACAAAGACTTGATGAAGTCCAAGAAACGAGCTTTCTTAAGACGGAGTCAAGAATTATTGACAAAGTACTTGATGAAGGATCCCAAGTCCTTTTGAAGACGATTAGCTACACCATCGTCAAGAGCTTCTCTTGATTCCAAGTCTTTGGTAGCACTTGGAGACTTTGTGATCAAAGCTCTTTTGTATGCAAATGATATCATATTACTAGCATGTGATGCAATATGTTTATAAAAACATCTTGATACTTTGGCTAACTTTTGTACTCAAAATCATATGGAGGTCAATTTGGAAAAATCAAATGTCATTCTTTTGGGCATCAGATCCAAAGTCTCTCTCTTTTATAAAGGACTAGAATTGGAAGAGTTACAAATATTTAGGCATTGATTTTTCTCAGAATTATAATTGGGCACTTTGTGTGCAAAAGAGAGTAGAACCTAGTTACAAAGCTTTATTTTCATTGTTAAATCTATGTAGAAGAACTCATCTAGTATCTTGGAGTCTTAGGAAATTTTTATTTAGGAGCTTACTGTTGCCGATGGTTTTACATGGGACACAAGTGTGGGGTCTTAGAAGTAAGAAGAAAATTTGGGAGCATGTGGAGAGGGTGCAAAAGATCTTCTTACAAGAAGAATAAGGTGTAAGGAACCAAACTCCTTATGTTATTCTTCTTGCGGAAACAAGTGTTTAATTCTTGAGGCTGAAGCTCTCTACTTGACCATCACTTATATTAGATGAGATTTAGGTGAGATTTCTTGATGCTTCTCGACTTCCTCTTCATGCTTTGCGTGCCACACGTTCCAAGGTATGGTTTGCAAATGTGATGACTTGGTCTTTGAGGTGGAATGTGACGGAATTGGATTGGGATCTACAACCTACGGACCTTCGCGAGCGTATTAAGGAGGAATTTCTCAACATCATTTAGAGCAGAGGAGGCATCAAAATGCAATTTTATCAACTTCGTGTGAGTCCTATGCTTATTTATTGTGAGCAAGTATATCTTGTTGCTGAGATCTCTACATCTTTACGTCATATTATTGTCAGGCATAGAATAGGATCTCATATACTTGGAATTGAGTAAGTACTTTGGTTGAATATTAATAGGAGTGAAAGGATTTGTAGACTATGTGATGAAAAAATGTTGAGAACGAAGAGCATGTGTTTCTTACTTGTACTAGATACATAGAGATTAGAGTGGCTCATAAAGTTGTTGTTGAAAATTTCTATTCTTTGTTTCAGCTTGAGTTATGATTTAGGTTGTTACATTAGGGATATTATTAATTAACGTTCTAGTGCTCTTGGCACTAGCTATGGAATTCTTTTGGTTCTCCTGGCACTAGCTACAGGATTCTTTTGGTTCTCTCCTAGGTAAGAGTTGGATTGTTTAGGGTTTAGTTGGTATTGTGTTTTTCAACATTTTGAGTCTTTGGGTACCACGGTCTTCATCTATTTACCATTTACCATCTATAAAATGGAATGTGTGAAAATTTACAAAACACAAGAGAACTCAAGGAGTGCAATTTGCATGGAACAAGCAAACATAGTCGGTATGTCATCCCTGTAAACGGCTGTCAACAGAATTCATTCGGCATACAAAGAATATGGAGGAATGTAGGATCAGAACACATGTATAAGACATATATCGATCAACAACAAAAGAGAATGTTTGTTGACCTTATAATACAACTATTGCATCTGTTTGTCTTGGCTAGTCAACAGCTTAAATTCAGTCAAGTTTTTGTTCTCGATCACTAAAAGAAGACAATGCAAACAGCACAACTTTCAGGTACCCGCAATGTACAATCGATGTTATTATTGTTGAAGGAATTGTGTACTGCCTTGATACGTGATATGAAATGATGGACAAATAAACCATCCCCATTTGAGAACACATGCAAAATAGAACGATTCTCATTTTGCAATTTTGCAATTGTTATCCCCGAGGGTGTTGACAGATCACACCTCACAGTCCAGACGCTACCGAAGTATATTGAACTGCGAACACTTCCATGCAAATTCTTAGACACGTTCAACTTGATTTGTAGTACCCGATTTCGAAATGTAGGAAATCATTTGTAAAATAGAATGGGGATGTGTAAACCACCGTTGTATGCACAAGTACATATTTAGTGGAAGACATAAAAAAAATTTGATGGTGCAAAACAAATGAACGAATGTGCATCTTCTGCAGCAGCACAAGACATGATTCCAGATTATAGCCATGAAAGGTGATGCATTTTGATCCTATGGCGCATTCTAGTCTAGTCTGACATCAAGAACAATTCTCTAGCCAGTATCGCAAGTGAAGAGGCTTGAGTAGAAATATTAAAACTCTGCGGAAATTTAATTTTACGTCCTTGCCTCAATTTTAAGGAACCTACCTACGGTCCTATTCACGATAGAGCGCAATTGTTTTAGAAGAGAACCGTACAAGAGCCCAAATTTATAGCTTAGTTCGAACATTTCTGCAAACATAAAGAAAACACGAATACATTAACTAACATCTCCTATATCGCACAAATTTATAATTTATAACCCTAAACTGTGCGACCATCAAACAATAGGAACTTTTTGGCATAAACCAGAGTCCAGTGATGATTCCCATGTTAAAAAAAAAGCACATTTAAGGTACACACACAGCTGGAAACTTAATGTAAAATGTGTAAAACACCATCGCGATTCTCACATACCAAAGACTTACCTAATCGCAGACGTAAATTTGCGTAATCATAGACGGCTTTGGTGTGAGCTTTCCAGCCTTGAGTTCCTCGCCCTGAAATGGAAAATCGAACGAAAGTGAACATAGGCAGCAAATTTTCACTAGGGACCATTTTCATCAATACATATATCAATGACACGAATGTCAGCTTCTTATCTTGCTACAACACAAGTGACAGTGAGGTGACGTACCAGGATCTCCACGGTGCTGTTGGGCAAGTCCTAGCACAGCATATTTGGCATTTATTATCAACCGCATTCGAGGTGTGGCTCCTAGTTTACTCGTTATAGACCTCAGCAGCCCGCTGTTGAACAATACGATCCAGTGCAACTTGAGTTGAACGAATACTCTCTCAAGGAAATATTCAAGTAAGACACGAGTCAGGCAGTTCTCGCACCAAAATTGAAAAGGAGAAGTTCCAGTCTCAATTCTAGTCTCAGGAGCCAAACGGATTATCACGTTACAACTGTAGGTGAAGTCCACAAAAACCAACAAAAACCACTAGAAGAGCACTAACGAAAAGAGGTGTCGTTCTCATCTTTGCCTTACTCAGTCCGCAAAACTGTCAAAAAATCGCGAGGTAGACCTTCCATGAACTGAGATACGTCACCCATCGTGAAGTGACGCACCTCTTCCTTCAGCTGGTTTCTTTCTGAGAGACTCATTCCTCGGCCCAGTCCTGATTTGCTGCGTTACAGAATTTTATTTAGACCTCAGACACGCATTAGCACATTTGAAACGGTTCAGTCCCAAGCCTTATTCTTCATTGGTATCTGCCAGATAGATACTGAAGACCACATACAACGCCCTGTATGAGTGGTGCCTCGCACTCTTACGGCACGTCGTATGCAGAATATGCTAATATTATGAATCCAGAGAATCCGCCCCCGGACAATGAGCACGAGCAAGGGAGCTGACTAATTAAAGAAAATGGGTAATACAGAATTGGAGTCCTCCGCACGCATCATGAACCTTAACAGAAGCGAGAGTAAATGTAAAACCAAAGAGATGTAAAATATTGATTCTGACAAGGAAGCAGGAACTGAATGTAGCAAACATTTGTGCTTTACAAATTAGATTGCCTCGTGTAATTAAGAAACCAATCTCAACGCTTGTCTTAGTTCTTGGGCAGGAGCAAGACAATCATACAGGAAAGAAGGTAAGATGAGTCTGTGCAAGAAACAATGAAGTGATGTGCAGCGACTTCATTAGATCGTACACTGGTCACGGCCGTGGTCAACAAAAGGGGAGGTAAACATCTTTTCTTCAGACACAGAAATCTCACCTGTTCAATGGGCGACCTGTGAAAATGATTGGTAGATATTTATAAAAATGCCCCGCACCAAGACGATCACCGAGTTCCTCCATCTCATTGGAATCTAGTAAAATGAGAGCCTTCCAAAGCCGGCAAAAGTCATTTCGGAACCCCTCATCCAGTTCTCTATAGAGTCCATGGTCTAACAAGACTGCAATGAACACCACCAAAACGAAACAAATGTAAATATTATTTGTTCTGCTATAGACGGGTTTGCCATGCACTAACTCTCTACAAGATGCAATCTTCGGCATGACCCACCTAGGTCAAAGTTGCGCTTTCCCTTAACCTGGTCACGAGGATGCACAAATATGTTTCCAGGATGAGGATCTCCGTGCACATATCCATGACAGAAAACCATCTCCGCAAATACCTCGACAAGCACCTCGGCAACCTGCGTTAAAATCAACGCAAAATATTTCAGAGTTTACAATATGGAGATCTTAATACACCTCTGCTGAAAAGCCCTAGTGAAGGCCAAGCAGGTGAAACCAGCTCTTACATCAACCATATCATCCTCAATTGGACGTAATTCTCATTTTCCCATCTTTCGTGACTTGGTACTGGGAAAGGACAAACCTTGTCCAATCCATGAAAATCATTCCCAGCGGCGAAAGTCTCTGGAAGCAAACTAGTCTGATGTGCACGTTCAAGTGTGGAATACAGCATGGACTTTGTGGCCTTGGAAAATTACTATAGAAAGTGCTCAGCAGCTGTTTGCTATATATTATGAAAACAATGAGAGTGAAAAATAAGAAAAGCAGTAACAAACCTGCAACGGATCGATGCCAGCCTTTTTAAGACGTTCCGTATCTGTAATCTGCAGTTACTACCATATATGTAAGCTACTTTGTTAAAAGGAAGAAAGGTAACTCTAAATAACTTGCCATTCCATAATTAAAACATCAATGGATGATAAGTGTAAACATCTGGCTGTATAAACTCACCTCAAAACCCAAATGTCTTGCAAAAGTGTTTGTAACGAAACGAACAACACATATTTCTTGTTATACAGTGGTGAGTATGACTACTAGTTCATCCAGCAGTCTACTGCGGGATCACCTTTTACGTTTCAAAACTGCTCGCTTTTAAGACCTTGCTGAAAGGAATGGTATGCGTACCTTAAATCCATGCATAAACTCCATAGTCAAAACTCGCCTTGATGTCAAATCCTAATTCACGAAAGGTCGACAAAAAGCTTATCAAACAAGTACTGCTCACGTTGTCATGAACACTGGAAGACAGATCCTCAGATAATTTTTCCATTCTAAAGTTTGATGGAATCCATAGCAGACACACTGATACGTACCCACTTTATTTCAGGGATTTTAACATGGTCTTTACTGGCAAAATTTTTTGATGTCTGCTCTGCGTTTTTCCCTTCTTGCTTGAAATCTGTGAAGCGCTTATGAAAGATCAGTATGCTGAAAATTTACTGTACTAGGTTAATAAACAGAATATTGGCTATCTGGTCAATACTTCCGTTATTTCTCAAATTCCGCAATCCGCTTCCGGTGGCAGTTCGCGACTTAACCGCAAGACGATTGTGATCGATATACCTTCGGCTTTTGACGACTCAAATACATGGTTCAACTGTACTTGAAGAGAAATTTACAGGTGCATAAATACCAAGAAAACAAGTAGGGGGTTCTTACGAGATATGGCTTTCAAGTTCCTGCTTACGGCCATGAACTAGTTATTTACAGTAAACTGAATTAGTTTGTCGTTTGGGATTTGTTATCTAATTAGTATAGCTTAATATTGAGTTAAGGCAGCTTCACAAGGGGGATCCCACCTGTGCACTGTACTACTTATCCACTGTGCACCCAAGGAATCGGAGTATCTTTCTATTTATTCTCTTACCTGTTGCTATTATGCACTGCAACTTTGCAGTGATCAGACTGAAACGAGAATTTCTGTGACTTTCCTATTTATTAGAATTGGCTAAATGACTAATGGTGCACATGCATGTTGAACAGATTGAAAATCCAAGAACCTTCTGGCACCTATCAGCGTCTTGTACTCATCAATAGTACCATTTCTTGACATGGTTGCTAGCTACAAGAAACTGTACAGACTCTACCTCGAATCTCATCAAGAGACAAGCTTGCACCGCATATGGAATGACCATGTTCCAGGCACAAGTCAGAACAAACACTCTCACACCTCTCATCCTTCTTAAAAATAACAAGTGGTGACTGATAAGAAGACCAAGCCCACCGAGGGTGATGCTCAGAGGTTGAGATGCGATGCAGAGATTGCTAGGAATATTTGAGCCTACGACGAATTCTCAAGTTTCCTGCTAAAGTAGGCTCTTGAGCAGGAATCAACTCGAAGAATCCACTCAATTCTAGACTCACATTGATGTAAAAATTGCTTTCCTAGTTTTCTTCTTATAGCTAATCGACCGCTTAGTATTATCATTGGAGGGCTGCGTGCCCTGCGAAGTACGTTGAACAGCTGGAAACTCCAGAAAGACTATTTGCTGGCAATTCTAGCTCAATAGACTAATACATTCTACTGCAGTCTCAGAGAAGACAGGAAGTCACAGAAGGCTTCATTCCAGTATGTGCACTGCGTTGTGAAATAACGCATCATATACTTGTGAGGTGTTTGCTCTCCCATAATATTTCGTTCGCTTTTATAACAATGTTGCGTCCAGATTCAGCAATAGAACTGGTGTCACTAATACTACGTTCACTACTAGTCTCATCCTTAGGTTCTCATGGGGTTCTCATAGTATCCCTCGGCAATTCCCTTTAGAGTGCGATATACTTGGTGCAACTAGTAACCTTTAGATTGTGTAATTAATTTTGCTACAAAGAAGGAGCATTGCCCAAGGCCCGGGAGGGCTCGTAGAGTTTATTATCACCACCAACAAAGTTGCGGAGTATGATACCGATAAGGTAAGAAAATGTTCAGAGAAGAAACATAATCAGACTCCTGTGGTGACAGTCGATAAGTGGATACAGTGCACAGGTGGGTTTCAACCGTGCGAATCTGACCTTACCCTAAATAGAGATTTAGGCTAAACCTAAGAGAGAAATAAATCAATCAGTTAGCTGAGTAATATGTGGCTGTCAACAGAAACTTCGACGTGTTTTGTGTTAGATAGAAGTCTAAAACAAACATAATTATTGAGATCTCTAACAAATTTAAAAAATTTCCACACTTAGACTTGGGGAAACGAGGCATATGAAGCATACCTAGCTCTCGCGAAACACCTTTTTCAAATTCTACCACAATCCACTCGAACTGGTAATCTGGAAATAGCTACAGAACAAACAGAAGAAAAACGCGTCAAATAATCGAAACATCATTTTCTTCAGGAATCTAAATGAAAGGCGAGGGAAACTGATGAATACAAATGAGGGAAGAAAAAAGAACTTGAAACAACACGTTCCTTTAACGCTCTCGAGGCAACTCCGAGCTAATCATTTGTCAGTTTCACAAGCTTCTATTTAACTGCTATATTTCACAAAATTGATACTGCCACCTTCGAAGGCGAGCAATCGACCTACAAAAACCAATCCCGGAAATACACCTATCTTGGATTTGTTTAACAACGAATGTCAACATTGTTTGTGGAGCATACCATGGAGATAGCTTTCGAAAGAGTATACATCGTTCTGATGTCAATTTCAAATTGCTGTTGAAGATGTGGATACTGCACCTGCATATTACACGGCAGTATGTGAACAAAGTGTGAGAGTTGAGGTGAACTAAAAGCGCAGCCGATATATGTTGGTTTCCACTTGTTACTTCATCCTAGGAGCAGCGTCAACCAAGTTCCGCATTTTCTTCTGAGGAAGCATTTCTTTTTGGAGGAACAAATCTGTAACAGTGCTCATCAGCAAACCTCTATTCACAATACACCTGTTTCTAGAGAAATGACCACCACCCAACGCTATTATCACTAATTATGTAGGAGCAGAGTCTGTCTTGATTGTGAAAGATTTACGACTTGTCAGAAGAACTTGAAGCAACAATTGAATCGAGGTAACAAAGACTAGATTTCGCATCAATGATCGGTGTCGAATGTTGACATTCGGACTGTAGAACTACCCTTGATCGTATTACAGTGTTGCAAGTATGCCTATCTCTACCAGCTCGAATCAACATACTGATCTTTACCTTGACGGCAACTTCTTCTCCGCCCTTCAACTGAGCGCGGTGCACTTGAGCAAGCGATGCTGCAGCAATAGGTTCCTCGTCGAATTCGGCAAAACTGAAAGATCAAATTCCATTAGTATCCCCATGAAATAATCGTGACCAGATACACAATTATATTTGAACCTATATGAATTTCTCCGAAAGCTTGAACTTCATGGCTTACATAAATTAAAAGGACTTCTTCATGCTTACATGTCTCCGATACTTTGGCCAAATTCCCCTTCGATAACCTTCTGTATCGCATGGTACGGCCATGGTTGGGCCTGATAAGTCATTACAAAGACACAATCAGCGCGAACAGAATTTACTACTCCTTCAAAATTAGGATAATAACAATAATACACTACTTCCTGTAAACTACTTGATCGCACGTGATCACGCGACTACCTAAACAGCAAGGCTTGTTGTAGGCTCCGAGAGTTAAAATAGTATGAGGCACAAATATAAAAGGCTTCCGTCATTTATAAGAAAATATTTAAAAATCTCGACTTCTATAAACCTTACGGGTAAAAATTTGATCTTCTCTATTTCTATCGGCGTAAATCAATATCAGAAGAAGCGGAGCGATACAACGAACAGGGCAGGCAAACATCTGCTCAGCGCCTTGGTCATTTTCTACGTGCCCCACTATTGGACAAACTACAGTCATAACAAGTATGATTAAAAGGTTACATTATTCAATTAGGAGAACAACATAGAAAAACAAAATAATTTTCGTCACTCTGCTACTGATTCTCAACCATGTACAAGAGTACTCCTCGTTTTCCAGCAACAACCAAAATAAAAAACTCTTACTTTGTCTTGCAACACAGAGAGCACGGTAACAAACTCCTGGGGCACATTCTTCATAGATCCAACAAATTGACCTGCTTTCACATAAAATCCTCTGTTTGCCTGACACAGTTTCAATAGGCGCTCTGCGGCACGCTTATGAACCTGCTAGAACAACAAGTCTTTAGAACCCTGTTTCGAGTGCGAACCGAATTCATCATGAATAGAAAACTCCTTCAGTCCGTGACGAACAAGCAATGAATATCCTGTGATCTAAATGTAGATTTCATACAAGTATTTCAAACATCAGTACAGAATAACAACACAAGTAGCCCCAATTAGGAGTCATCGTTACCTCTGAACGAGCCTGGAAGTACTCCTCGGACTTATCGTCATAGTCTTTCAGTGAGTACTTGTAGTCATAGCTGTTGACAGCAAACTGCAAATTGTGTAGATAAAATTGGTCAGGACTATATACACAGACACTTGCTAACCCGACTGCCCTTACGGAAATCATGTCATTGGCATTGCGTCTCAACTGATGCTGATGAAGCTGCATGTCAAGAAGGACATGCTGTATGAATCCCCTGCATTCCCTCTATACGCATCTGCTTTCATTCTTTGCCTCTGAATCGCAACTGACCCCTGAAGACATCAAAAGCACTCAATTCTTGTGGCTATTGACCATTACTCAGAGTTGTACAGCTGATGTGTAGAAGAATTGGAGTAATCATGGTCGAAAACACTTCTATACGGTTGCTATGGGATACGCAGATGAGTGTAACAACCGTGTAAATCGCTCGGGACGACCGAAGTAGCCCTTGCCGCGCAGCTTCAAGATTGGCTATCGCTCCATCGGGCAATTCTGGCAGCGATGCAGATACCGTGAAGGGAGGAGAAGGCAGAGCAACAACTGCAGTGGAAATAACGGCGGTCCCAGAAGCGATGGCTCCCACCTTCCATAGTTTAGGCATCCACTGATGCAAACGCCGTGTCATTACTTTGCTCACGCAGCACAAAGGATTCGACCTCTTCTGACTGGTCTACGTTCCCAACTTCTCGAGAGAGGCTCCAATTCTCATCCAAACCCCTACCAAAACCCTGGCGCTATTTTCTGCATGCAAGCTCTAGAATCCTAGATCTCCGCCCAAAAAAAATAATCTGATGATCGGATTCAAGGAGAAGCTTGGAGAATCATAATTCAGTTCTCAATTCTCACTATCCCAACCCCTCTGGCCTGCTGTTCTTGCCCTGCTCGCCCTCTTCGCCCTGGCCAGAAGAATTCACCGAATAATAGCTTCGTTCTTGCAAGCGGCAAATTTTCCATGCCAATTGAATTATACCCCCAAAGCATCCAATTTCAGACTCGGAGGTCACCAATTCTTCTCCTCGGCCCCTGCTTGAATGGACTGATCGATAATTCCCGGAGGCCGGCACTCGCTGGCAGCGTCTCTGCCTCCCAGAGCCCCAGGTTCGGCAACAGGAAGGACGAAGGGCGGGCCCCGGTGCCAAGAAACGACACACCTGCCCTCGTTGAGGAGGAAGCTCCGATGTCACTCACCTCTCTCTCTCTCTGAAGAGCCCGGGGAGCAACTCCGGCTGTCGTCAAACCCTACGTTCATCATTCCTTGCTGCAGTAGGAGGATGGCGAGCAGGCGAGCGAGCGAGGACCGTGGCTGGCAGGCTCACTGGTGGACCCCAGATCCAGGTCCAGGATTCTGTCTGGTCAGTGAAATCGAACGCTTTTTGTGGCCATGCGTGGCGTTGGATGGAAATCGAACCATTGGCAGGCCTGGGAATCCTGGAAAAGTGCGGAAGCTAGAAAGGGGCAGTAATCGCGGGCCAGTGATGCAAACCTCTGATGCTTCGAGGGTTCGAGGGATACGTGAGGAGCGAATCAGATGCCGGAATGCAGCGACAGAGAGCGACACCGGCCGAGGCTGAAACTGCACGCACGCGCGGTGGGTTCCCGTGTCATGTGACCGAAGTCAGCCAACCAGCCAGGGTAGGGATTTGGCTTGGAGGGGCTTGGAGGGGCTCGGGTCCCCAAGGGTTTGTTGCCTTCTCTTGCTATCAGCGTGGAAATCGGGCGCAGGCATTCTGAGATAGGTTCATTGCACCTATTTCTACGGCGCGACTCTGACATCGATGAATTTTCGTCCAGCGCGGCTTGGGTCCTTCTAAGCTCGGCGCAGAGAGGGGTGGCATGAGTTCGAAAAGAGAATCCCGCAGTCGCGTTCTTGAAGCAGGTGCAAAGATTGGCGCATCTAACTGGGGGAAGGGGGCAGGCTCGATTGGGCTGGCATAGTTTGGTTCGGTCGTGGGGAAGTGGGAGACATTGGCATTGGGGTCGTGGAAGTGAAATGGCAGACCAGCTCAGGGCATCTGTCGCCCTGAGCTCTGCACCTGCTTTGACTCTCCAGCACTCGCCCAAGGGTTTCAGCCCACTCTGTGTTCCGATCCCCCGTCGAAATTCTCTCTCTGCTGCTCCCTCGCGGTTGAATTTAGTCTCTGGCCGATTGCCAAATGGTGGTGGTTGTGGATCCGCAGCGGTGCAGGGCAGGTGTTGCTTAGATTTTCAGTCGTCTTTTTTGAGGGATGGTGCCTTCCAGTCTCATCTTCATGGGTCCCTGTCGTCGTCGTCGTTTGGCGGAAGCACGAGTAAGCGGAGGACTGGAGTGGCCAGAGCTGCTGGGCCTGCGGGGACGGGCATTCGTAAAACTGCCACAGGAGGCACTGTGGTACAGCGCTTGAGCTCTAAATCTCGATTGCATTTGAGTTAACAGAATATTATTGTGGAAATTGTTAAGTGGGGATTCACCGATCAAAATTCCATTTTGTGTGGTACTTGGCTGCGAGTGATTTCGCCATTAACTGTAAGTGCTACTTTATGTTGAAGATTGTGAGGGTGTAATTGTAATAATTCATCGCTAACGCCCATTCACGAGTTCTTAGATGACAGATGGAACTTGTTGTGGTGCTTCGTTCATCTCTGTTTTGTACTACGTATCAAAGATCGTGGTATTCTTTGCCTCCTGTATTGCTTGGAAATTTTAGTGCTTACTTTTCCGTGGAAACAATCGTCTTCATCGCCCATGAATTATGAGGAGCAAGATTCTATTAACGCGCCTTGGCACACCCACTGTGTTTTTGACATGCAGCCAACTAAGCCGGGCCAGTTTCTTTTAATCGGCATTGCTGTCGCGTACATGTCTCTCATCGTCATCATTCCATTTCTCAATGTCTTCGTGCAGGTATTTGCCTTCCTCTGACTTACTCGGGTACTTATTATTCGACATAGTTATCATTGAAGCTGCTCGATTACCAGACAAGACTATGGGGTCACATGTAAACTGTCGTCTGAAACTACTTGCTTTTATTGTAAATAGTCTATTGCTCCTCCTTTCATTGTGAAAGGTCTATGGTCTACATATTAGTGATACCGATTGTTTCCATGCAGGCATTTTCCTTCGGAATAAGACCATTTATCAACAACCTTTTGGATCCTGCGTTTCAGAGCGCGGTTAGTATAATCTTATCCTCAGCTTCGATAGAAAGGTCGAGAAGTTACATTTCAGTTAGATTGCACCACATAGTTTGAGTGGACGAACAACTGCAGTCCTGTATGTCACAGAAGTTCTGTCTGAACTATAGAGAACACTGTGAACTCCCTCAAAACAGTGGCATTTGAACGCTTTGGAAGTAGATGTCATAAGTGTGACACAGACTGTAGTTCAATTGAGGGATCTTTGGATCCTGTTCAGAGCTCAAGAATTGACAGTTGAATCTGACTTCTGCACTGCTGCTGTATCAGGTGAGGATGACCCTCACCGTTGCAGGCATTGTTCTCCCTATAAACACAATTTTCGGACTCATCATCGCTATTTGGGTCACTCGACATGATTTCCCTGGAAAGGTTTGTGAGCATCGGTATATGAACTACTATCTTATCTGGTCAAGGGTTTACATCGTAACGTCTTTTGAAGAGATTTCGAATCCAAGTGAGCAATTTTGACGCTCTGAACTGATGAGTACTAGAATATTGCACCATGCAGGCTTTACTTTTGAGTGCCATCGATTTACCCTTCTCCATATCTCCAGTCGTCGTTGGGCTTATGCTTATGCTCCTTTACGGTCGCCAGGTAAGTCGAATTAAATTTCAGACGTAATTTTAGTTCCGCAATTTGATGACATTCGGTAGGGTACAGTATTCTATTAAATTCAATTGTAACTGAGGACTCTGAACGCTTTACCAGGATCACTTCATTGAAATAGCGGTCATGTTTCTACCTTGTGGAGTCTTAACCATGCGGTGTCTATCTAGGTCTAGCTCTGATTGTATATCACATTTGCCTTCTTTCTCTACCTCTGTAGGGCGTCTTCGCACCTTGGTTACGAGCTACGAATCTCGAAATTGTTTTTGCGCTTCCTGGTAAAGTTGCTCTTCATCATATGTGTTCGTTGACACCCCTGTTTAGCCTTTGTAGTCTGAATGATTCTTTCATTCTTTCATAAGAAAATCGTTCTATTTCAAGTTTCAGCAGAATCGGTGGATTAAAAATGTCAGGAAAGTGCACAGATGGTGAGATCTTTGTTGAGTTTAAAGGTTTGTTTGGCCATTGCATCTTCAAGCCTTTCTTTACCTTGCAAAATTGCTCCCCTTTAGTTGCTCTGAAGTCGTGTGGTTTCGTTCCTGTTCGTGAAAACACAATCAAACTTGTTCGCTTCGAGAGATTAGCAGAGACTGATGTATTGTGACACACATGATGCAGGCATGATTATTGCAACGTGCTTTGTTACCCTTCCATTCGTTGTCCGGGAGGTTATTCCCGTAAGTATTTTTTCTATGTTGTTACCGTAGTATCTATTTGTATGACTAGGTTGTCTTTCTGGAGATGACTCTCGATGTGACAGACGCATATCAGCATCATATATCGAGCTCTTTTTTCCCCAGGTATTGCAAGAGATGGACCCTTATGAGGAGGAAGCCGCCCGCACCATGGGAGCCAATGATTGGGAGGTATGTCCTAAGTGAAGATGGTACTGTAGTTGCCTACGGTAGTGATGACTTCCTATGTTCAGCATAGCATGCAGTCTATGGTCAGTAACTCGTCATTATGTGTTTGATGTACAATGTATCAGCTCAGCTATCTAAGTTCATCCTTACACTTTAATCTTTATTTCTTACGAAGTATGTGTATATAGCGTACGGGCAATCTTTTGTTCCAGCTTTGCAGGATCGAATAGACCTGCCCACTAAACATCGAACCTTCTGACTATCTCTTGTGCCAGTCTTCAGCCGTTTCTTCATCCAGCATTGCTTTTACTTAAGATCTCTGTTCCAATATCTGTGTGGTCTTTCTGAATTTCGATAAGACTTGCAATCACGTCTTTGCACTGGCTGTTCAGGTATTTTGGCAGGTGACACTTCCGAATATTCGACTTGGATTACTGTATGGAATAACTCTTTGCAACGCTGTAAGCATCACATAGTTCCCATCCTTCGCTTGAATATCGGAAAAATAGAATTTCAATTTAGGGTTTTTTCATTTGTTTGCTAACTTCGCGAAAGATTTTTTAAAAGAGGGCAATTCGAACTTTTCTTCCAAAACCTTACTTTCATAGTTATGTCTCTGTCACATACTGAAGAACATATTTTTTTCGACCTTGTTGAGGAAAACTAGGGAATAAGTAGATCATATGTCTTTTTGTAATTATCCTGCCTATATACAATAGTTGATGAGCCTCATTGGTGTAGACTAAGTTGTGGGTAGCTTTGATTTTTGAGCTGTTCCCTACGTGTTCTGCATGTGTAGAGGGCCATGGGAGAATTTGGAGCTGTGTCGGTGATATCCGGCAACATCATAGGGCGAACTCAGACCCTTACACTCTTCGTCGAAGCAGCTTACAAGGTACTTGAGCGTAACTGCCTGGTTATTATGGCAGATGGATTTCAGTCAAATCTTTGTATTATCCGATTTGTCTTCGGCTTGACAGAACGTTGAGTTACATCTGCATGAAGTCAGAAGTTCTTAGCATGGCTTGTCAAGAGCCTGTATTTTCTTTCGAAGATGGTGGGATGAAGATTCTTAAAGGTTGTAACTTTGATGTGGTTGGTACAGGAATATAATACGCAAGGGGCCTTTTCTGCTGCTTTGCTACTCTCCGTCTTTGCTGTAATTACCCTCTTTATTAAGGTATGCATGTCGCTCTGAAAATATTCTTGAAATTCCTGTTTCCTCGCTCGTTGTTTCCAGACAGGGCTTGAGCGCAAGAAAGATTCTGAGGTTTGGAGTTCCAGTCATAATAGATGTGCGTGCAGCTGTCTAATTATTAAGTTTTTCTAATGATTCAACAGACAAAGTTGGAGGATGAACGAACGAAGCAGCTGTCGGTAAGATAGCGGTTGCTTGCTGGAGATTTACTGTTGGTCCAGAAGGCATTAATGAGTTCCCTTACCAGGCATGTGGATGAAATGCACTGTACCATATTTTTCCCCTCCAGGTGTTATACAAAACGACATCACGGTGGCATATCATTGCGTCTTTTTCATCTTCTCCTACCTTTTTCGACGTTGTATGTCTCTTCTGAATTTCTTTACGGCATATTGAGTTCACGTACCAAGAGCAAGTCCAGAATTCAGCGTTCTATAAAATCTATGCGTATGACCTCGCCGTTAGAGTGAGATGAAGCCACGAAGCGAAGGTTTAACTCGTCACAGATAATATTCTTTTTGTTTTCTCTTCTCGTCAACACATTTCTTTATGCAGGTTTATTCAGCTCCAGCTCAGAAATTTTTTCGACATCATCGCATAGCATTTGATTCCCTCCACTTCTGGGCCCTCAATTCCTTCGCCTCTGGTAGCTCAATTCATGGCTCATGATGTTGCAGAGAGTTGTTTTGTTTAAATTGAACTTGTCAGAAATCCTGCTGGTTCACTCCGCGACATGGATTGAGATAAAAGTATTACAATGCTTTGTTTATGTTAAAAAATATCAAAATACGAGTTCATACTGAATCAAAATATGCTCCTTCTCGGCCTTCGAGCACTAGCACCATGCACCATGAGTGAACCACTGAAAGTACATTGTAGAAATGGAAAATAAATATGTTCACAGAGGACTAAAAACATTCCCAGCCACAGGCGTTCAATAAAAATGTGAATGTCGGTCAAATGTCCTTCTGTAAAGATACAGGGATATACTTCGTCGTACCTTGGGGGAGGAACATCACGGACTTGACCCAACGCCTGAAACCGACCTGCTCGTAGTGTTCATGAAGTCTCGTGAGGCCTGCAAGGTAAGAGGATCAGAAAGGGAGGAAGAGTGCTTCTCTTCGTGGACTTGTAATCCAATTTATTCTAGTGAGTTTCTTTTGATGCGAACGAACTGATTGAAGATTGGAGCTCCTGCGGGGATAACCAGTGAGAATGGAGCACATGAACGAGCCTCGAGTGGTGGACTCATGTTTGACAATTCTGAATTTCCATGGAGTCAAGTTTTCTAAGATATACAGCAACAACGCAAAGACAATTCTCTATAGGGGGGCATCTTGACCGAATTAAATTATTTAAAAGTTAAATTTGGTATTTTAATGTGATAAAGCAGCTTCTCTTCACTCCACCAAACACTTTTTGCATTCGAGAGCATGGAAAGGGGTTGGGAGTCTTGCAGTCCAAGCATGAGAGGATTAGGGGATTTCGAGATGTCCCATAAACCTCCTCTTTATCTTCTTCTTTACTGTTTTAAAATATAGGAGATATAAGGAACAACCCTGGAGAAATCATTTCCATGTTTCCCTGAGGTTTTCTGGCTCAATTTAACAGGTCTAGAAGCGAGATGCATGGACAAACACAGTAAACAGAACATCGTTTATTATATTTCTAATATCACCCTCAAAGAATCAACGGAACCCTCGCGAAGGGTTATGGGAAAGTTAACAGCCCCTTCAGAATCCTCACATGAGCAGAAGTGACAATGAGAAATCCCCGTATCAAAGTGGGTATAGAGTGTGATAACTTTGTTGGCTACTAGGGTAGATTTTCATTACCTCTTATGTCGCCATAGTTTCGTTTGATTTCAAAGACAGAAGAATAAGAAGATGATCGTTTGATTTCACTCCACTCCTCAACTTGGAAATCATCAATTATGAAATTCATCCACAATGATGATGTTTTGGAAGAAAGTCATACCTTTTAAAACATTGTCACAATCACGACATCAACAACAATTTTTTTACATGCAAATCAAGTATAAGTTTGTTTCAAATCAAGTTAACTACAAAGGTATATACCAAAAAGTAGAATTTGCATCTCCTTGTTCACATCGACACATTCCTAAAATAAATCTTTGCGTGTGAGTATCACACTCATATATGACTATTGTGAATAAGAATAGACAGAAAAAATGACAAATTTTGTAAAATATAGATTGTGATACTTGAAAGCCCTGCACGCATAATCAAGCCAAGATTCACAAGCATGAATTTATAGATTTTTGTGACCTTAAATATATATAAAGTTTGATGATAATCGTATAAGGCCAAGTCCTCATAGCCTATTTCCACCTGTTTGCTGATGTAATATGGGAGCTAAATATGGTACAAAAAATTCTCAATGAATCATGTTTTGTATCATAGCTCTTTGAGTTTCATGATTAATGCGTGAAATTCGAAGTCAAATATTCAAAAGCTTACTTCATTCATATACACGCTTCCCAGTGTACTATGTGTGACATCCAACATGGCTCTGGAAAAAACAGTGTACACAACATACTGTTCTACATAGAATCATGATATGTGGAGATACTCCTGAAAGATTAAGTCGTCAGGCACTATAAACTCTCCCATGTAAAACCCGCGATGATATACGAAATAAATTGTGTAAAGATACCCACAAAATACAAGACTCAAAAAAGTCTACACTTTTTTTTAATCTCACTAACAATGCAAGAGAGGTCATTTTCTTATGGATAGACTTATTCAATGTTCAATAAATATATAATCACAATTTCAATAATATTGATACTCGAACACAAATGACGGGGAAGCACTATGGGCATAACTAACAATGCAGAACAAAAGTTTTGCAGTAAGAATGGCTTTTATGGATTCCCCAAACAGCACCTATCCCCAACTGACAAAAGAGTCAAGTATTGACTTGAGATCCAACCTTTTGCATCGAGAACATGCGATGGGACCACATGACCTCTGCGAGTTCCATGCTTCCGCAATCGGGTAACCGGGAGCTCCCGGTACACACATATAATTTAGAGGTTTAGGAAGAAGTAAATGGCAGAAGCAGTCGTCGTGCGTGGTTGGAAGAAGAGCCTCTCATCATCACAAGTTCGGTACGGCTGTTAGGGTTTTAGAGGTCAACGCCGGACTCCAAAGTCAACCCTATATCCACGTCACGCTTGGACTCTGCCACGTTTCTCATGAGACGTCGCCGGTCAACGGCACTTTCAGAGTCACTGAGAACGCTTTGTCAAAACAAAGCATCATTGCTCTATGGTCCAATTATTAATCTGGGGGCTACTTCTTTGACTTCGCTGGACTTTGCTTCCTACTGCTGGACATGGTTTCATTTGCGTCTTTATAACACATGTCACCATTCATTAACTCATAGTTGAGCCACACTCTCCCAACCTCTTGCTATTGCTACACTTGTCATGATGTAGTACGTGTCACCGTGGCGTTGGATGTCTTCTCAGAAGCACTGTCATCTACTCGGTCCGTACGCGAAAAGTACCGCGTAGATAACAGTCGAACTGAGTTTCACCACATGGTAGAACAACAGAGTCTCGTTATGCACATGGCAATCTGGGATGACATAATATTGTTGCAACGTTATCTAGGAAATCCAGATATTTTGAGTCATCCATTTCTATCGTCTTATCTGCTCACACCACAAGACGCATGGTCTAACATTTGCCCCAACCACGGTCAAAATCTGACATGACTACTACAACAACTCCTCTTGTGGCTTTGCACTGTTCATAGTATTTATCCGACATCAAGTCAACCACTTTAGTTTATGTTCTTGTTTGTGAAAGGAGAAAATAAGAAAGCAAAAATTATTTAAATACCCATCACAGTATGAACATCTAAGCAGATACTTAAAGAGTTACCCCACATGGTAGAACAACAGAGTCTGGTTATGCACATGGCAAACTGGGATGATATAATATTGTTGCAACCTTATCTAAGAAATCCAGATATTCTGAGTCATCCATTTCAATCGTCTTATCTGCTCACACCACAAGACGCATTGTCTAACATTTCATTATATCTACCTTGTGATAATAGCACAAGTGTGGATGAATTGTGGGTGTACTCATTGTGCCCTTGACATAGTCGTCACTCGCCCCAACCACGAATGAAACCTGACACGACTACTACTACAACAACTCCTCTTGTGTCTTTGCACTGTTCATAATATCTATCCTACATCAAGTCAACCACTTTAGTTTATGTTCCTGCTTGTGAAATGAGAAAATAGGAAAGAAAAGATTATTTAAGAACCCAACAAAAGTTATGAACTTAAGCAGATACTTCAAATGAGGTTATGCAGTCCAAGAGTGTTCTTAGTAAAAACACCAATACGCATTTTTATCCCCAAGATCGATGCATGTGACTTTGATAAACTTTCGTTTATTATTGCTATTCACTTCCCTATTTTCTTCTCATGGTTACTCATGTGTCTCATCCTTTGATTGAAGGATAATAAGAATTTCGTAACGCGCTTGAACTATGGACCTTTGAGTGTGTACTATGTACTATGAAATGCAAAGAAAGAAATGATTCCAATTCCATAAAATGGAATAAAATTGGTGAATGAATGAAATTGGCTCATCAATGAAATCTTACAATATTGGTGGCACAAGTTATAAGGTCATTATATTCTTAGGTTAATTATGATATTATTATATGAAAATGAGGGATGCTTGTGAGATCTACATATCTACAGTATTATCAACAAATTGGAGATACAACGTGGCATTTTTTTTCTTGATTTACCAATTTTATTATATTTTTTCATTTTCAAAATTTTATATTTCTTCTTTCTAAACATTATTCTACACCTAGACGATTGTACAAGCTTCTAGATGTAGAACAATGTTCTACTCTTGCTAGAGAAAATTTTAAAATTTTCATTAGATCAAAAAAACATACAGAGAAATTTTCTTCAATTTTCACATATTTTTTTCTCATATTTCAGAATTATGTTCATCATCTAAGCATCACTTTAGAATTTTTTTGCAATTTTGAGCTTTGAAAATCAATATCAAAATAATTGGATTTTTTTCATTTTCAAGACTTGTAAATAAAACTACACTATTGATTTTAGCAATTTTATCAACTTTTTTAGCCTATGATATCATTAACTTTTACCCTTCTTTTATAATAAAATATCAAAATTTGATTTTGATGATTAATGAAATAAATTTAGAACCATATATATGTTCTCAAATTTTTTCCAAAAATGTTTATTTCTAATTCTTTGCAAATACTAATTTTGTTCTTATTGTTCTCTTTTTGAACTGTTCCATTAGTTTATCGTCTATTTTTACTTATCATCGCTACCTCGATCTTGAATTATCTTGTTAAGTCCTTGCAAATATTTTCTTAAAATAATTGCAAGATTTATGAAATTTTTTTATTTTTTAATATCATTTTTTTTTCAAATTTTTCTTGTTTGAAAAAAATTTTCTTTTTTGAAGAAAATAAAAAACACTAATTTCTTTATATAAAACACAAAATACTTGTCCAATGCACTATTAAAAGTCATAAATTGGGAAAATAAAAAATATTTTTTTAAACGCAAAACCTGTTACCTAAAACTTACTTAAAGCTCATTTTTTTTCATTGAAAAATCAACATGAGATATTGCATCCAGCACCATTAAACTAGAAGATGGTAAGTTTAGATCAATATATTTGCAATA